ATCTTTCTCCTACTGGACTTCAGGAAACATCAAGGATTATGGTTACAAAATAAAAAGGTAGGAGGAAAGAAGGAGAATGTGAAACTAGTTTCTGAAACCCTCTGTAGTAAATGAACTTCTTAAAGGTGGTTGACACATGGTTCTACAAAAAAACAAATCAGGCCAGGTTTTCTTTGGTGGCAGAGAGCTGGCCCTGGTCTCCATCTCCTGGAGGCCTTCCCTGATATTTTGGCCCGCTTTTTACTCTTTTAGCAATATATCCTGGTTATTTCCCCAGGTCAGGAAATATGAAAGTAGGATTGTTAATGGCTACCTAATATTCCAGAATAGAGAAAAACCACAGTTTCAACTCAATGAACCCTCTATTGTTGGCCATTTACCTTGTTTCCAGTGTTTTGCAATCCCAAGTAACTTCAGTGAATGAACAAGTTTGTATAATGTCTTTGCCCATTGCTCTGGATAAATTTTTCTATATATTAATAAATTTGAGGGCCAGCTTTACAAATACAAGTCTTCTTACAGACAGACCCTGTACACCTGATCAGATCATAGTGCTCTTCCCACTCTGCACAGTAATCCTGCTGGGTCCTCATGCACCAACTCAGTGAGTTTGGAGGAAGGGATGGGAGGAGTCTCAGCAGCAAAGAACCAAGTGGGCAGTGGCTAAGTGCTCCGTGGGGGTTCGCTGGTGCTCAGTCACACTTACCTCTTTCTCCACCTGTTCTTCCCTCTCAGAATGGACAGAATCTGTCTCTGCTGGTGCATGGTTTCTGCCCAGATGCTCAGCACTTCATCTGTGCAGGCAGAGCCTGTGGCAGGGAGTCGCTAGGACCTCCAGCAGTAAGTTCTCTGCAGGAACTTTCTGTGGAATGCTTGCTTACAGGCCCCCAGAAGAAATGTGGGGCTGCCTGGAACATATGTCAAAAGAGAGAGTTCCTGTAGGAGACAAGGTTGGGAAACAGGAAACCAATCTGTGGTTAAGATTTTGTTACAGAGGCATTATGTAAATCATCTAATTTCTTTAGACTTCTGTTTCTCCAGCCATCGCATAAAGTTAATCCTATTCTATCCCTACTTGATCAGGATGATGCAAAAACGAAGTACATAAATATATCTACTTCAAAAGAGCTAATCAACTTGAAACTGTATATGAATACACAGGCAGAAAAGCAGAAATCAAGATTCAGTAAGCCACAGTGTGAGTGGGCTTTGGGCTTTGTCCACCATTGTATCACCAGTGCCTAGAACTCTGCCTGGCCTGTAATAGGCGATCAGTACATATTAGTAAGATGAACAACTAAATTCATAAACACCTGTGCTGTCCCAGACACCCTTCTAGGTGCCTCATAAGCATTATTCCACTTAGCCTTTACAAACAGCTCTTTGCTATGAGGGTATGAAATATTCCCATTTTTGTAGCTATGGAAGCTGAGGCTCAGACTGGTTAAGTAACTTCCAGGATCATTCAGCTAGTATTTGACAGATTTAAATTTGAATCTAAGTCTTCAGATGCCATTCCCCAGCTCTTCCCAACTCTGTTATATATTGCAGAAAAAAAGTCACTGTGATGTGTGCTATTATTGGGCATTAAATGAGAAAATCCTTGTGAAAAGCTACAGCACCTAGCATGCAGTTAGTGCTCTATGATCTACAATTATAACACCCTATTTATTAGTTCATATTTTTATATAACCACGTTGTAAACACTTAAGGGCAAGGGTCATTCTTTTCCACAAGTCTGAGCAGAGTAGTTGCCTGAAATACCGATAAACTGAACAACATTATTTTATGACATTAAGTAGAAGCAGTTACTTCCCATAAGGCGGGGCTTTGTATTTTGTGGACAAAGCTAACCTGACCATGACTTTAATGGGAAGCCAGGGTAGGCCATGACTCTCCAATAGCTTGGAACCCTGGTGGTCAACAGGGAAACGGATAGAACCAGACACCAAGGAAAAGAACAGCACCCGAAAAATGCAACTCCCCAGGCGGCGGCTCAGACTCCACAGACAGTAGGTCACCATTCTAACAGCCTCTGGCCCCGCCCCCAGGGCCTGCGCTCTGATAGGCTCAGCATACCGAATATGGGCGGGGCCTTGGAGAGACTCTGACCCAATCCCCTGGCTCCACACTTGCTGCCTGGGACTAGGTGGTGCCGGGAGGGACTTGACTCAGGAACGAAGTAAGAGTTACTGGAAAACTTCCCTCCCCTGCCCTGGCCAGAGGCAATGCTGGAAAGGGGTCAGAGCCTTTTAGGCTCTGGCTTTGTCCTTTACTAGCGCTGAACCTCAGTTCCTTCATTTACAAAATGGAATCATAGTTCCTTTTACATACGGTTATAGCAATGAAATAAAATGTAACACGGAAAAGTTCTTAACACAGGTACCTAACACAGTCCCAGTGCTCAAAAAAATCAGTTGCCTCTATATAAGCCACCTGCCTGAGAGCAGGAACTATTACCTGAGTCACAGCTTGCCAGGCTGCCTGGGCACATTCAATTGTCAGTGTTAAGTTTGTTGAATTGGCTGGAATCCTTCCATTAGTGCTTCACCTCTTCTGGTAAGCCTTGCCTGTTTTAGGCCTCTCTCGAAAAATCTCTAGAAGGGTTAACACCCTACTTCTTTTTCCCTTTTCCAGGAAAGCCTGGGGACAACATAACGGCCTGGGTACCTGGGGGAGCAAGGGGATCACTTTCATAATGAAGACAAATTCATGGTGTTACCAGACTCTCCCTGACTGCTTGCACCCTCACTCTGGACCTTCTTCCTGCTCCAGGGTGTCAGGATAGTAGGCTTTGGCCCACTTCAGGCTTTATGAGGATTATTAAAGATAACATCAGGCCACCAGTGATGTCAGAGGTACTGAGTTGTCCTTAAAGGTAGAGTGATATAGTCCAGTTAGAATGAGGAAACGAACGATTTAGAGGAGTCATCAGATTTTTGGGATTTAAGATTTAGAGTTTGACAATCAACTGTAGTTAGGATTGGGTAATTAGTTACGGCTGAATTTCTTTCTTTCTTTTTTTCTTTTTAGAGGGCATCTCTCATATTTATTGATCAAATGGTTGTTAACAACAATAAAATTCTGTATAGGGGACTCAATGCTCAATGCACAATCATTAATCCATCTCAAGCCTAATTCTCGTCAGTCTCCAATCTTCTGAAGCATAACGAACAAGTTCTTACATGGTGAACAAATTCTTACATAGTGAATAAGTTCTTACATGGTGAACAGTACAAGGGCAGTCATCACA